ATAAGTCTTAAAGAGATTCTGATTTTTTTTTAGATAATAGGGTAGTTATCACGACTTTTTCGTCACCAATAATGATAACAATAATAATCCTTGCATTTGATACAGCGCCTTAACACGCCATTGAGGCGTCTCAAAGCTCTTCACAGAATACACACCGCAAAGTCAATTGACTGTATATTTTGTGGGCGATTGCGCACAGCAGTGTCCCACAAACAGTCGTGGATTAAAGTGACCAATTTATTATAATTATTTGTCTTTAAAGAATTATTACCTCCGGAAAAGTGACCCACCAATCAACTAACAACCAGGTTCCTACTTACTGCTAAAAGAAAATGCAGGATAGGTTACGTACTAGAGTTAGCAATTCCCTCGTTACCCCCCCTCACCCTATACCCCCTCCCCTCCAACCCCCACATCCGTCCCTCTGATAAATTACTCTGGACTGGTATCAGAAAGCAGACTTGGGCAGTTGTGGGTTACACTGTGAAATTGACGCAACAAGATTAACGCTAAAAATACTCGTCGAGATGAAGTTTTGTCTTTCACCAGGATCCAGCTGTACAGAGACTGTCTGTCAACAGTGCTCGGACACGCTCCCGCTTCTCTGCATTACCTACTGAGAAACAAAATGCGTCCCCAGTGATTTCATTTCTATGTCTTGCGACCCAGCAATGTCCCACAAAATAGCCAATGAGTGAAGTGAGTGACTAGTTTTTTTTTGGTGTGGGGTGAGGGTGGGGGTGGGATTGTTAGCCAGGAGACCAGGAGAAATTCCCATTTCTTTCTGAATCGTGGCAAGCGCGTGTGTGTATTAAAAAAAAGGCTTATTAATTGCAACGTTTTAAAGACCTCGAAGTCCAAAGGGCACCTTTACAGTTGCATTAACAATTCGGGCAGGTAATGCGATTTAATTGTTAATGCAATTTTCAGTTACATTAACGATTAAGTCACGTCTACCTGCCTAAATCGGAAAGCCAGAAAGGGGTCTCGGTGAGGAGTGCTCTCTCTAATCACGTGTCTCAGTGTAAACTGCGCTGACAAACCTCCGATTCGATTGAGCATGTCCTTAAAAATGCGCCTTGCGGAACTACACGTCTGCCTGTAGAAGCCGCCCTCGTTTCATCCCAGTCTCGTCACAACTCGGATCGAATTTGTCAGAGCCGAGCGATCCAGACTCGAGTGAATTGGGTCAGAATACATAATAATAATAATAATAATAATCCTTGCATTTGACACAGCACCTTATCACGTCATCAAGACGTCTCAAATCGCTTCACAAGCCACACTGTGAAGTAAAGTGGATCGATTGTAGAGCGAATGTTGTGTTGTTACACAACCGCCGTTTTTTTTTATATATAGAAAGCGACGCTCTGTTCTAGATGACGTTTTTTTTATCCTCTTGAGACGTTTATTGGACAGAGACTTGGCAGAACTTGGCAGCTTTTATATCAGAGACCCACCAACAGCTAAAGGAATGTGGTCATGAGCACAGTGTCCTGGCTCGGGACTTAGAGGATAAAAATAAAAGGATGCCTTCCTTTACGGACAGCGTGATTCAAACATCATGGAGAATGAGGCATTCTTTATTCCCCTGGACAAAGTTCCAGTGTGATATCGTAGGACAGTTTCCTATTTGTTCCCGATTTAGCTCTGGTGTCTCTCTCTCTCAGCGCTTACAATAAGCAGATGAAGTTGGCTTGGAAGTTCAATTGGAAGTTTACTCCCGAGACGGTGGGGGGAAAAATGCTTTCAGAGTCACTAAGGCAACTTAGCATTGCAGAATGAGGGAGCGCCCATCTACATGGGAGTCAGCCCAAACTTAACAGTGAGTGAGAGAGATCGGGCCAATTAGATATTTCTGTCGCAATGTAACCAGGCTACAATTCCTGCTGTAACCACACTAACACTTAGTCGGATTAGCAGTTGGAGTTGTCACAATGGACCCTTGTTGAGATGGATGGCCTAACATCTTTTTTTTCTTCATCTAAAAAAAAAAGTGGAATTGGATAGATGCTTGAAAAAGAGGGATACGAAGGTTGTGGGGAGATATCCGTAATAAAAATGATCCTTGAGTTCGATATAGCGCCTTATCACGTCATTGAGACGTTTCAAAGCGCTTCACGGAATGTATTGTAAAGTGGATTGACTGTGTATTTTGTGGGGGAAATGTGGCAGCCATTTGCACACAGCGGTGCCCCTCAAACAATCGTGGATTGAGTGACCATATATTTTTTTCAAGGGGGTAGGATTAGGTTATGTTGAACAGCAATGTGGATTTGCCATCCTAGGTGGTCCGTTTCTATTCCATAATATAATTAATCCATGATTTTTTCGATGAAGAAATCTCAATGTCCCATTCCTTATGGTAACAGAATAAATGTAGCGCTTGTTTAATTATGTTTTAACAGCCTCTGTTTTACTGCCTATGCTTATCCACACTCCATTTTGCTTTGATTGGCTCATTTTTAAATACATTGCCTAAAAATTGTGCTATGCAGTTAGCTACTGGATGGTTCACTGGGTTAGTTACGGTGAAGTAGGCTGGGAAAATCCAAACATATTTGTTGCACAGCAGATCTGCTAGCCTTTCTTCCTTTATAGGTGTGACTGTCCTCCTTGGCGATGGTAAGCGGGATCTCCTTGGAGCTGAACTGGCTCCAAGGTGACATTTTTGGCAAAGGAGGGCCCGCAGTCCTCCAAGACACTGCTGATGACAAACCAGCTAATTCTGGCTCTTGGCCAGGACTAGGAAGGGCAGACTGGCAGACTGGAGACAGGGAGTTTTCCCATTCGATTCCCGTTAACTCTGCGAGCCCAAGCCCTGATGGATAGGGTGGTCCCAGCTGAACAAACAGGGAGAAGCTTGCCAGCCGGTGCTCTCGATGGCAAGCAATGTGTTTTTTGCTGGTTAGGCTCCAGCAGTTACCTCAACGCACACTCTGGGGTCCCCAAGGCTTGGTTCTTGTCAACCCGTGCCTAGCAATTGGCCCTCAAAACACACAGTCGCTACACTTTACAGTTTATCCCGTGAAGCGGTTTGAGACGTTTGGAAGAGGTGATAAGGCGCGATATCAAATGCAAGGTTTATTATTATGATTATTATTATTATTATTATTATTATTATACCCTCCAGAGTTGGGTAAGCATGGATGTGTCCCTCCCTCCAAGGGGAAGAGAGAGAGGGAGAATTATAATAATAATCCTTGCATTTGATGCTTAACTATGCTTCGCGGCAAAGTGAGTCGACTGCATAATTTGTGGGGGAAATTCCAATCAAGACCCGAGGATCTCCACGGGTCCGGTGGGATGTGTGGCATTGTCAGTCCGGTTTGGACACTCTTTTAGTAAATGGTAAACTCGTGGAGTCCTGTAGCTCAGTGGTTAGAGCACTTGCTTTGCAAGTGAGAGACCTGAGTTCAATTCCAGGCAGAGGGCGAAACCTTGGGCAAGTTTCCTTACTCCACACAGAGCCTAATAATAATCCCTCCAAAAAAAACCCAAAAAACAATAATAAATTGGTCATTTTCAATCTACGACTGTTTGTGGGACATTGCTGTGCGCAATTGGCTGCCGCGTTCGCCCACAAATATACAGTCAATTCACTTTACAGTGTGTTCTGTGAAGCGCTTTGGGATGTCCTCCTGACATGAAAAGCGCTATATCAAATGCAAGGATTATTATTATTATGGTGGTGGAGTTTGGGGCAATGTGTCAATTGACCAAAACTAAAAGGCGGATCAGCCGGGTTTAGGGGGAAGGAGTAAAATGATTGATTGGCACTTGTGCGGCCAATCAGAGGGAAAAATGGGGAGAGGGTGGGTGACCACCAGCCAATCGGAGGGTGGCATGGGCGGGGTGGCATGTGGTAAACGTTGGTATTCTTAAAGCAAGAACGTCGGGCAGAGCTGCAGCATTTTCGGCTGATCTGAAGGAGAGGTTGACTGCAATAACATAAGAGCAAATCTCTCCTGATCCGCAGGTGTTAGCAGCCTTGTACACTCTGGACTTCAGTGAAAGGTTCGTTTCGCAGGAGAGTCTTGCACTTGATGTGCTTGCTTTGAATTTATTTGATTGATTGATTGATTGATTGATTGATTGGTTGATTGATTTCACATTTATTTCTTGATTGATTGATTGTAAACCCATTGTTAGAAATTGCAAGTCAAACATTCGTTTCGCCCACAAAATATGCAGTCAATTGACTTTACGGTATATTCTTACAGTATATGCTTTGAGGCGTCTCGAAGACGTGATAAGGTGCTATATCAAACGCAAGGGTTGTTATTATCTGCAGTGATTTAAACCTAGTATGAGTGTGGGAGTCGTAATTTTTTTTGGTGAGAGGGAGGAAATCTAGTTTCATATATGTTGGTGAATTTGCAGTTAGCAAGTCATTGCAGGATGGAGGATATTTTTGGATTGCAAAACAAACACCTGTTTTAGTGACTTGATGATGCATTTTAGTTTGTTTTTCCTAAATGAGACAGCAAGTGTCATGAAATCAGGGGTTGAAATTAACCCACGGTTGAAACCAGCGCAGGATGTGTGATTTCACGTCAGTTACAGGTGGAGGTTAGACTGTGTTATCTGAAGGGTGTAATGACTGAGTGCAATTGCACAGGAGCAATGAACTGTTGGAATCAGCTCTCACCACTCACTGACTGTATTGAAGGAGTGTGTCTGGGTAGGTAGGTCGTATTGCAAGTGCAAGGATTATTACGGTTGGGAGAATGGGATAAAACTTGAAGATGGAAATGCGCAGGGAAAGTGCAGATTCATTTCTGCGGGTAATAATCCCTCCAAAAAGCAATAAATTGGTCACGCAATCCGCGACGGTTTGTGGGACACAGTTGTGCGCAATTGGCTGCTGTGTTTCGCCCACAAAACATACGGGCAATTCACTTTGCAGTATATTCTGTGAAGTGCTTTGAGACGTCTCGAAGACGTGATCAAATACAAGGATTATTAGTTCTTAAATATCTCTGTTTCTTGTCTTCCAGGACCACAATGCTAAAGATCAGAAGCCCACTGGTGGATAGATTTCGGCTGGGAGCAATCGAGCTGGTTTAGTGTTTTGTTTTAATTGGGATTAAGACACAGAAATCAAGGGGAGAGGAGCTTTTGATCTCTCATCAACAATGGCACCGATGAAACAGAACCGGACTTGCCTGATCTTCCACCTCATCCTAGTGCTAGCTTCTTCATGGTCAAGGACGATTGTGAACAAAGAGTACGGCACCTTTAGGTCGGAGAGGTCCGAATGGGTCTTCAACCACTTGGTCGTGGATCAGGTTACGGGCAGCGTGTACTTGGGAGCGGTCAATAGGATTTACAAGTTGTCCAGCGATCTCGACCTCATGGTGTCCCACCTCACGGGTCCCGACGATGACAACCCCGCCTGCTACCCTCCCCGCATCGTCCAGCCATGCAACGAGCCCCTCACCATGACCAACAACGTCAACAAGATGCTGCTCATCGACTACAAGGAGAACCGGCTGATCGCTTGCGGGAGCCTCTACCAGGGCATCTGCAAGCTCCTGAGGCTCGACGACCTGTTCAAGCTGGGCGAGCCGTCGCACAAGAAGGAGCACTACTTGTCCGGTGTGAACGACAGCGGCTCTGTGTTCGGGGTGATCGTGGCGGATCACGACGCGGACGCCAAGCTGTTCATTGCCACGGCGGTGGACGGCAAACCCGAGTACTTCCCCACCATCTCCAGCCGGAGGCTGACCAAGAACTCCGAGGCCGACGGCATGTTCGCCTACGTCTTCCACGACGAGTTTGTGGCCTCGCTGATCAAGATCCCTTCTGACACCTTCACCGTCATCCCCGACTTCGACATCTACTACATCTATGGCTTCAGCAGCGACAACTTTGTCTACTTCCTGACCCTCCAGCCAGAGATGGTGACCGCCCTGGGCTCGACCCGTGAGCAGGACTACACCTCGAAGCTGGTCAGGCTGTGCAAAGCCGACACCACCTTCAACTCCTACGTCGAGCTTCCCATCGGCTGTGTCAAGGGAGGCATCGAGTACCGTCTGCTGCAGGCCGCCTATCTGTCCAAGGCCGGGGCTATACTGGCTCGGTCACTGGGCATCGGCCCGGACGATGATGTACTCTTCACCGTCTTCTCCAAGGGTCAGAAACGCCGAAGCAAAGTGCCGGATGAGTCCGCCCTTTGCATGTTTGTGCTGAAGTCCATCAACGAACGGATCAAGGACAGGCTTCAGTCCTGTTACAGAGGAGAAGGCTTTTTGGACCTGGCCTGGCTTAAAGTGAAAGACATCGCCTGCGTTACTGCGGTAAGGTTGACTTGCTTTGTATGTATGTGTGTCGGTTACGTGTGTCTGTGTCGTGTGCGCGTGTCTAGGACTTTGAATCCGCACAGTCTAGGTTGACGCTCCAATGCAGTTCTAGAGAGCACTACGATTTTTCATTTGAAGACTGCATTGCGGTGGGGAAGAGCAGTGAGTTTCTTTCAGTTGCCCTGGCCTACAATCCCCCAGGTAAAATTGATCATTCGCTTCAAGGCTGTTTGTGGGACATTGCTGTGGACAAATTGGCTGCCACATTCGCCTAAAAAAATACACAATCACTCCGGTCCACTCCACGACAGTATATCCTGTGAAGTCCTAATCGTAAAAACTGCTACGTCAAGTGCAAGGATTGTTATTATTTATTATTACCTCCGCACAATTTGAAACTGATGGAGCGTAGACAATAGTTTTTGTGTATGAAACAATGGCTGAAATGTTATTTTGTATCTGCCATCTTTGACCGGCAATTCACACGTGTAAAACTCAATAAGACAGCGTGAACAACATGTAAATTACAGGTTGCATAATTACTGTGATTGAAAGCTACATCGCAAGCAGCTTATTTTCTGATTCACTGCTGTCTTGTTGTGCATTATGTTTGTGCCATATATCCTACTTCCCTTCATTTCAATACTGAAATGAAGCTCTTCGGAATTTGAATACTGTGCGTGTACAGCTCAGCTGCTAAAAGTGACTGCTTCATGCTTGGGCTCCTTGCCTGGTCTGTGTTGAGTTAGCTGATCTCAGCTGGAAGTACAAGTGGACGCACTCTCTTCTGATCTAGGGAGAGGAAAAAAGCCAGCACTATAATAACAATCGTTGCATTTGATAGAGCGCCTCATGACGTCGTTGAGACGTCGCAAAGCACTTCACAGAATATACTGCAAAGTGAATTGACTGTATATTTTGTATAAAGTGAGCCATGACAAGCTTGCTTCTCCATTGATATTGGATATTGGGTGAGGATAGAGAGACTGTGAATTAATACATCCCCATTTCCCCCCCTCTCCCCCTCCCCAAGTGATTCAGTATAGTTTGGCCTCACTCACGTTGAGTGGACATCTGTAAAGAACTGGCACTTAATGTAATTGGAGATCGGTCAATGCCAAACCTTGTCTATTTCTGTCTATTGGGAGACAGGAAGGAGAGTTGATTTAGTGATGCAATGGCCATTGGAGAAGGCTAATCACTGTTGAAGAATTCACAATGAAGATATTCAGTACACGGGTGGTATTAGAGTAAATTAGAGGGCAGGGTAGTCGGTGAGGGAAAGCAGTGGGAGCCTGAAGGATTTGACATTTACAACAAGTTGGATTTATATAGCGCCTTTCACATCACTGTAACCCAAGGCACTGAACATTTGAGCGTTTGCACTTGAGCTGGGGATTGGAATCAAGCGGGGTGGAGGTCAAGTATGGTGGGGTGGGCGAATGACCAAAGGCCCGGTCAAAGAGGAAGGTCTTGAGACGGGCTTTGAAAGAGGCGAGGGAGGTGGCGAGGAGATCCAGAGGGCGGGGGGAGAAAGACTGGAGGCCCGACTGCCAATGGCGGGGCAGGCAAACGGGGGACATGGCGTAGGCCAGAGCTTACTGAGCTGATGGAGTGGGCAGGTAGGTATGGTTTTAGTAGGAGACAACCAGGAAAGAGGCGAATCAAACCAACTGAATTCAAACCTCTGTTCCAGGGAGTGTGTTAAGTCACCACACCACCCAGTGCCACAACAGTGAGGTTATCATCAGTGACGTTGTGTTTGTATGGAATGTGTTTGCTTCCACCAGTAGCTCGTGGTAAGGTAAATTCATGCAGGTTAAAGAAACCCAGCGAAGCTCGATCACTCACGATACAGCTTTCAGTATTCTGGGACTCAATCCTGGGATGAGCAACAGCAGCTTCTAATAGCAATTTATACTAACCTTACCGTGTCCTTCACTGGTGTTCGTGCCTCTCCCACGTGTGAGCATTCCAAGAGAGAAAAAAAAAAGATGTTATGGGACACAAATGGAAGTGGAGAATAAGCCATTGCGATCACAGCAGGTGCAGAGAGCAATCTCTCTCTTTTCTATGAGCAGCATGAAATTTGATTTAAGTTGTGAAACTGTAAAGTTCCACAAGTAAACTGCGTTACTTGTCGGATTCATCGAAAACAAAACATTTTTTTTCTTGTACTGCCATGACAGAACTATGTTTGCCAGAGGTATACTCTGTGCTATAGTTCTTTGACATTCCTACAATAATAATAATAATAATAGTAATAGTAGTAATAATCCTTGAATTTGATATAACGCCTTTCACGTCTTCTAGACGTCTCAAAGCGCTTCACAGAATGTACTGTAAAGTGAATTGACTGTATATTTGTGGGCGAAACGCAGCAACCAATTGTGCACAGCAGTGTCGCAGAAACAGTCGTGGATTGAGTGATCAAACTATTATTGGGTTTTTTGAGCAATTATTATCCCCCGGAAAAACGATCCGCCAATCGACTAACAACCGGGTTCCTACTTACTGCTAGGTAAGCAGAGGTGTGTGGAGTAAGGAAACGTGCCCAACTTTTCTCCCTGCTCGGGAATCGAGCCCAGGTCTCTCGCTTGCGAGGCGAGTGCTCTAACCACTGAACTACAGGACTTGTAGGTCTGGGGTCTCCCTACCTCTCCGACTTGCTTACTCCCCAACCCACTTCCCACTGCCTCCTCTCGACTGCGTCTAGCAAGCTAGAATCCTAGAGAAATATCTATTGAGGGTTGTGCAGTACTCTCATGGTGGGAGAATTACTTGAAGGAGGACTCTTTTTCAATGGTAACGTTGCATTTGAAAGCATGAAAGAACCATGTTCCTGATACATTTACCATCCCCTCTGGTTACCCATTGCATGAATTAGTTCATGTTGAGATACAGTAACCAGCAATAGATTCTTTCCTAAGGTTGGTGAGTCATTAGCAAATGGGGACACATTTTCAAGTAATAATTTTAACAAATTTAAACAGGCCTGAAGCGAATGATCACCGTTATCTGGGGGATTGTTGGCAAGGGCACCAGGAGAAGCTCTCTTCCCTTTTTGGATATTGCCAAGGGATTTTTAACATCCCCCTGAATAGGCAGACATGACCTTGGTTTAACACCTCATCCGAAGGACAGCCCCCAGCACTGCACTGGAGTGTCAGCCTAGACTGTGAGTTCAGTCCCGAGATGGGCCTTGGACCCACAACCCTCTGACTCGGAAGCGAGAATGCTACCCACTGAGCCAGGGTGGGACACAGCTAACCGGCTTCGTTCTGTGTGGTAGAATTTCCATATTTATTTAGCAGCATTGCTTTGATTCTCGGAAGCTTACCTCTGACGCACAATTTATGGCTCACCTGAAGCACGGTGAAACCAATAGAGATGAATGAATAGGTTATTGATTGGCATTCTGTGTTGGAACACAAGGTCCTTTTCCAAAGTACACAAGGTCTCAAGTCTCAGTCTAAGCCAATAATCTATTTATAACCTGTAACATTTGAGTTTTAGATCCACTGCTGTTGAGATGCCACCAAGCAGTACTTCATCTTTGTTTTTAGAGATATGGAGGAGACTCTTTGTTCCTTCGGGGTTGACAATGCTGGTAGCTGTCGCCTTTTACCCAGTGTGAGCACTGCTCTTAATGCAGAACTGTTATAGGAAAAGTTACTCCCTTGAATATGTTTAATATAATAGAAACATAGAAACATAGGAACAGGAGTAGGCCATTCAGCCCCTCAAGTCTATTCTGCCATTCTATCAGATCATGGATGATCTGTACCTCAACTCCAATTTATATAATATATAAAAATTACTTTTAAGTATATAACGTCAAAAGTGTGTCAATCTTTTATGCTGCGTGCATAACTCTCGGTCTCTTCAATGGAGATGTGGAGTACTAACTCATGCAAGGTCCTGTAGCTCAGTGGTTAGAGCACTGCGAGCGAGACACCTGGGTTCAATTCCAGGCAGGACGAAACTTTGGGCAAGTTTTCTTACTCCACGCGCCTAATAATAATCCCTCCAAAACAATAATAAATTGTTCATTTTCAATCCACGACTGTTTGTGGGACACTGCTCTGTGCAATTGGCTGCCGCGTTTTTAGTTGAGGCTCGATGTTCTGGGAGAGGTGTAAGTGATCCCTTTTCAAACCAGCAAGTAGCACTCTCACCTCTGAGTCGGAAGGTTGTGGGATCAAACCCCACGTCAGGACTTGGAATCACATAATCTAAGCTGACGCTCCAATGCAGTGTTGGGGGGTGTTGCATCGTCGGAGATGACGTTCTTCAGATGAGAATTTAAAGTGAGGTCCCGTCTGCCTGTTCAGATGGATGTTAAAAATCCCATGGCACTATTCATAAAAGGGAAGGGAGTTTCTCCCGGTGTCCTAGCCAACAATCCCACAAATTATAAAATTGATCATGTACTGGGTGGCTGTTGGTAGGACATTGCAATGTGCAAATTGGCTGCCGTGTTTCAATCACAAAATGCATAGTCAGTCCACTATACAGTATGTCCTGTGAGGCCCTTTGAGACGCCTTGATGACGTGAAAGGCTCTATATCAAATGCAAGGATTATTATTATATTGCTGCCCAGCTTCAGGTTGAGGCTAGTATTTAAGAATGTGGGGAAGATTTGTTTCTACAGACCTCTGCCAAGAATGCAGCGATGAATGTCCCAGCTCGCTCTAATTTCTCTATACCAGCCGGAGAATTTGCCTGTCTGGTCTGCTTGCCCATTGTGAGTGCCATCGTTGAAAGTGGTTCATCTGATACTGGTTGTCGGGGAAAGTGCACTAGTGATTGGCACAGCAGTGGTTGGGCTAAAGGAAATAGTTCCAATCACCAAGGGTCTGTCAGAGAAGTTGGGTAAGTGGAGGGGAGTTGGAGGGGCTGTGGAGAGTGAAGGAGGTCCTGTTCTTGGAATTAATTTTAAACCTAATATAATATGATCATCTTTGCATTTGATATGGCGTCTTATTATATCCTTGAGATATCTCAAAGTGCTACACAAGAATATACTGTAAAGTGGTTTGATTGTGTATTTTGTGGGCGAAACCAAAGAGCAGAAGGATGCACAAAACAATTTGACTCAACACTTTGGATGTGTCTATAGACAACATCAAACCGTATTCGTTAACTCTCTCTTACCCAATCCAACAAGCCACTAATCTCATTTTCCCGGAGAAAAGTCTTGTCCAAACACTCCCTGATTGCCAAAGATAATCAAACAGGGAGAAAAAAATCTTTACAATATTTATCCATCTTCTCTAATCAAAACCTGGCCTGTTCCATCCATCCCATCAACAGACCCTATACTTCTCCTTCCCCACCTCTCCTGCATCCCTATCCTAGAAGTACATCACTGTGTCCTATAATTCATCATCCAATACCGTTCAGAAGTGATTACTTATCCAGTTCTTGAGACAGTGGAAGCAGAAAATGTTGTTTGTTTCAAGAACAAATTAGATAATTTCTGCTGGAAAATAATATCTCGGGATACGGTAAATAGTTTACGGCACAACATTTCAAGCGACTGCCAGATTGGTGGAAGGCCAACAAGATAGACCTTGGTCTTCTTTCGCCAACAAATTCTTATGTTCGTGTAAGAGACAGAACGTCCTACATTTTCTTTAATTGATGGGAGGGGGAAAATCTTCTCATCCCCTGAGATTGTTTAAATTAAAACTATAGCCTCTGGTTCTGTTCTTCTGCTCTCATGATTCAAGTCAGGTAGCTGCAACTCACACAGTCCGTGCTTCTCATCACTTTACAGATGTCCCCAATCTCTTCCTTATTAGAATAACCCCAGCTTCTGTATGGCTCTCCTCATCGCTTGGAGCTCTTAAGTGCTGGAATCATCCTTATTGCTCTTCCCTTGCTCGCCCCACTTCTCCAACGCATCAATGATCTTCTGAAGATTGGATATACAGAACGCACACAGTATTCCAAATGTGCACAATTTCAGTCGGATTTAAAACCTCTTCACAAGATTAATTTGGATGAAGAAGTCCCTTTAGCCCATTTGATCTCATCCTTCCAGAACACCCACCTATAGACCACCCAGTATCATGTTTTTTTTAAAAATGAGTCCAGTGTCCTGGCTTCGACCACCTTTCCTGGCAACCTGTTCCAGTTGTTAATTGCCCTCTGGTATATAAAATAATAATAATAGTAATCCTTGCATTTGATATAGCGCCTTATCATGTCATTGAGATGTCTCAAAGCTCTTCACAGAATATACTGTAAAATGAATTGATTGTATATTTTGTGGGCAAAACGCTGTCCCCAATTGCGCACAGCAGCGTCCCACAAACAGTCATGGATTGAGTGACCAAATATTTGTTTTTATCTGGTAAAGAAATGCTTCCTGGTGTCTGCCCTGAAATTGCCTTTTACAGTCCTAAAGCTGTGTTCTCTTGTCCGCTGTCCATCCAAAATCACTGACGATCATTAGAGGCTAAAAATTCAGTTTATTTCAATTAAACTATACTATAAATACTCACATTCCCATAATTTAGACGCTGTAGTGAACACAGGCAGATTTCAAGGTGGGGTTTAAAATCATAGGCTTGAAATTCTACCTCGTCTTAGTCTGAAAGACCAATTTGCCATTGGTGCAAAAATTAGAAAAAAATTATTTTAATTGATAGGGTGTGGTTTTTTTTGCCATTCTCGAAAACAAAATAATTAATCTTGGCATTTGATATGTCATTTTGAAATTGGGAACATGGCTCAAAAGATTTACTGTATACCTTATGTGTCTGTATTTTGTAAGCGAATGCAGCAGCCAATTTTCCCGCAATAGTGTTCCATAAACAGCCGTGAAGCGAATGATCAATTTTGTTTGGAGAATTGTTGGGCAGGACACCAGAAGAAACTCCCTTCTCTTTTTGAATAGAGCCATTGGATTTTTAACATCTACCAGAACCGATGGGACCTTGATCTCATCTGAAAGACATCACCCCCTTCACAATGGAGCAGTGTGTGTTTTGGTCGTGCAATATGAACTTGGTCAACAAATTGAGTAACATTCTATTGAAATATTTCCAGTTAAAGTGCTCTGGGACACAGAGGAGCGCTATATAAATGCATGTTGTTGTTGTTATCCACTGCCCGTCTACTCAGTTAACCCGTGCCAGCTGTGGTGGGCATGTCTCATAAACTTAGTGCCACCATCAGTGGCCGAGCCTTCGGTCACCATGCCCTGGAATTCTCTGCTTTTATCCCTCTGCCTCACCCCCCCCCCCCACCACCCCCCACCACCCCACCACCCCATGTCTTTAAATCCCATCTTAAAACCTACGTCTTCAACTGCGCCTATGGCCCCCACCCTACCGCCCCCACCCCCCACTTCTCCCTTGCTCAACATCCGACTCCACCACTGTGAAGCGCTCCGAGATGTTATCCTACGTAAGATCGAGGTTGCTATATAAATATAAATACAAGCTCTGTGGCGGCCAGTTAACCCTGCTTCTGTTTTCAGTCTTGACCTTGGATATAGAACAGATGGAATAGGTATAAATTGTATTTCCTTTCTTTGCGTTCAGTTCAGAGGAGTCTGACACACGCGAGCATGGGAATAAAACTGCACATAATTCAGTCCAGACTGTCAAATAATTGCACTGAGGCGGGAAACAGGGAAGAGAGTTTGGCTGAGAGTCGGCACAGTGGACAGCATTATTCTGTAATGTGGGAAGGGCCTTTGTGCTTGTATTTGTGATACAGTGATACAATGCTATGGGCTGTCTGGTTGGAAACGGAATATTCTTTATATTCCCTTTCATTTTCAGTTTTGATGAGCAAAGATTTATAATGACTCTAATTGAATTCTTGCTCTCACCCACCCCCCCACCACAGTGGGCCCAAAATTTCTGATGTTCTAAGATTGAAGACCACGGTCTTTAAAGCCTTGAGTTCCAAATTCCAATTAGTCTTAGCCTCGTAGAAATTTAAGATCTCACAAATGTGAAATGTGGGAAATTCTTACACTGTCTTAGCTTGGAAACTGTTCCTTCTTAAGAATTGCAGCAGCTTTCCAGCATTTTGTGCTTTCTCCTTTATTGCAAGTTGCTAAAAGGTGCAAAATAACCTACATTCCCTTCTCTCTATCTACCTACCTATATAACAGTAGATATTCACCGATAAATACACAGTCACTTAACAGTATATTCACGTCAGGAACTCTTGACGTGAATCCTCCTGATGTGAAAGGCAGTCGTATCAAATGTGTGGGTTATTATAATGTTCTACTGTAAATGATAAATGAAAATTCACATCTGCCTTTAACACAAGCTTGTTCTTTGTCCCGGGCAGCCTGTCCCAATAGATGACCGATTTTGTGGCTTGGACATTAATGCTCCGTTGGGTGGATCCACTCTCATGCAAGGAATTCCCGTGTTCTCTGAGGAGCACGACCGGATGACCTCGGTGATCTCGTATGTCTACAACGAACACTCTCTGGTGTTTGCGGGGACGAAGAGTGGCAAGCTGAAGAAGGTAGGAGGAGATGTCGGTGTTTCCCAGGGTTGGGTGGCTGGAGACTTGTTGAGGGGAGCGATAACAAGGGGTCGTTTCCAATATGTGTTTGGAGATCACCCCTAGCGTGATATATCTTTCTCAGTTGAGCATTGAGTCTTTTGTGTATCAGGCAAGACTTTGCTCAACTAAGGCCCAAAGTTCCATCATGTCTTAGCCTCAAATAAAAATATTTATCTTTGAATTTTAAAGTGAAAATTTTAAGTCTTAAGCCATATTTATATATATATAAAGAATAACTGGCTTACAAATACAGGACTTGGATTTTCTATATTTCTGACGACAAATTCAACATATCTTGTGTTTCTTTTTTTAAAAAAAAGAGCAACGGGCTAAGACTAGGTGGAATTTTGGGTCAGCGATCATCTGCTGGTTTCCAGTTGCCCTTCACGTTGAAAGCATTCCAGGGAGGGAGACTGTAAGCGATGCAATGCTACGCTGTCAAAGCGGAGACTAATAGCGTTGTTGAGGCAAGGTCAGGACTTGTAGTCAAGACAGTTCTGAAGTGTACTCGTGGGGAGGGAGGGAGAGTGAGGGAGAGAATACAACCAGTTGCATTCTAGCGTAACATTACACTCTGACTTGGTAAGAGTCCTCTCTTCCATCGCACGTGCCCAAGAGAGTTGCTTCACAAAAGCAGCCGCTGCCAGTTATTTGGATAAACCCACTGGCATTGCCAAGCAAGGTGGTGAAAGGTGGAGATTGTTTAATAAACTTGTTTGAGCCCAACACCAATGACTGTGGATCTGTTGGTATTGAACCCGCTGACAATCTACAGCCCTTCAGTTTTCAATGGGGCAGGTAATTAATAGCTTATACCTAGCTCCTCACAGTCAGAGGATCATGAGCTTCCCTGTCTGCTTCCAGTGAGGGGTTCTCTCGCTGACACCGCTCCATAGAAAATGCTGGTAGAAGTCACTGGATAATAAGAGCATGGCTCGGAACTCGAGCTGAGCAGTGTAACGTCTTAATGTGACATCTTGGAATTGCGCCTCGACCACAACGATCTTCGGTCCTTGTCCTCGTGAGTCGAAGAGCCCTGGCTGTAAGAATTGGTTACAGGAAGTCAGACATTATTTGTGGACTGGCTTGATACATTTCCAGAATCAATGCAGATTGACTTGCGGGAGGAGAAAGTAAAAGTCACGACAGCATTAGCAACTCTGTGTAGGATGTGACTGTACGTGAGAGCTGCTCAGTGACTTGGCTTTTGATCATTGCTCATAAAGACTGTGCTTTGCTTGCGAGACTTTTATTTACTTCTCGTTTCCAGTGCATAAACGTGGCATTTCAGTTCGAAGACTGCTGAGCTCGGAAGCGAACATTGTTTAGCTGTGACTCTATCTCGAGCGCTAGGAATCTGCTTACTCAGGTTGTGACACAATGCAATTATGGCTGAAATATGACCTACTTCTAGCGACCAGCATTACCTGGTGCATTAATGATCGCGGCTACAAATAAATTAGAGTTGAGGACAATAAATCTTGTGCTTTTGCACACACGTTAATGTGTTTTAATAAAAGGGTACGTGACTCCCTGACTCCTTCTCTCCTCCTTTTTTCTCCCAGTTTTTTTTTTCCGCTCAGTAAATCCTCCTAGGTTGAGAAAGAGCAGTTAGCTACTGGCTCATAATTCTTTGCACGGAGGCTGAGATCAGGCTCCAGAGTACAGGACCAAAACTGCAACCCATTCATCTCCATCTGCATCTCTCCCTGTATCCACTTCTGTTTCCAAGCAGACACGTGAAACAGATCTTTTTTTTAAGACTGTGTTACAGCAGATTAAGATACAAATAAGCTTACGGTAACTTCCAGTTAAATGCCCACGGGTTGCAGCCGAGTGCCCAGGAAGACTGCAGACCCGCCTGGCTCAGGAACCGGACGACCAACAGAGGGCTGGCTCGATTCCGACACTCTAACATGTAGGAGCAGGGGAGTAGGCCATTCGGCCCTTCTGTTGCCAAACATGTCACCGTGCAGCCAGTTCAGCTCCGAGGAGACCCCACTTACCTCCTGCCCCCAAAGGAGGACAGTCACTAGTCGGTTGTTCGACATCCGACAAACGTGGGTTTGAGCCCTCACTAGGTGAAAGGTAGGTACCAGGATCTCCTTGCGAGCTTCCCGGTGGGCTCAGTGTGAAATGCGTGAGAGCCCTGCCTCCACCTTCCTGTCCGCAGCTCGGGTACATGTCCCTTCCCATTGAGAGATAGTTCCCCCAGTTGGAGATGTGGAGTTTAAGCAGCTGATGCTTTGGCCTCTCTGCAAATTAATCAAAGTGGATTCCAGGCCCTGGGCGTACGAACGTGTGTTCACGAACTTGGACTCCAGGTAAACGAATGTTGTGCTTTTCCATGTATATTAATGCATTTAATAAGGGGGGACATAACCCTCTTACACCCTCCATCCTTTGTCCCATTTTTCTTCTCTTCCATTCCGCAGTTCCTCCTGGTTTGAGTGGAGGGCACAACCAATGTGCAGGAAAGGTTCCTATAGACATCTGTTATTGAAGCTATTGTTGCTGAATAATGTTTGAAAGCAACTCTGAGCACCATCCCCCCCCCCCCCCCCCCACCGCCGCTGAAACTAATTAACACACAATTTTAATTAGGTATAGAAGTGGATTCATCTTCAGGAAGCTTGCACCATGGCTGACCTAATACAAGGGGAGCTTGTTGCCTTAAAATGTTTACACGGGCTTTAATTAAACCACAATCGCAGTTTAATCCTTAGCTAATTTTTTTTTCCGCCTTTGATAACCAAATACTGCATGACATCTTAGCTGGGTTTGCTAAAGTCAAGCAGCAAATATTAATTTTGAGACGACTATAATAACTTTTTAATTACCGGGATTAATTGTGTTTTGAGGTTTCAATGGCGGCTTTCTTTACTTGGGTGATTGATGTTATTTGTTGGAGGATTCATTTCTATTGTACACACTACTGTTCCGAAATTGCTGCTCCTAAACGAGGGCATTGAGTGAGGTGTTGACGTCTGCAAAACAGAACCTCATTGTGCCATCAGAACGTCAGTCTACTCACCCTTTGGAACGCCATCCCACAGTCCCTACGCCTCGCCCCCTCCCTTGCCTCCTTCAAGGCCAATCTCAAGACCTTCCTCTTCAACTGTGCTTTCGTTCACCCTCCTACCCCTCTCATCCCTGCCCTCCCGCCCACTGCTGATCCCAGCCTTCAGCCCGGGAGCACCATCCCGATGTGAAAGGAGCTATACAAATACAAGTTGTTGTTGTACAGTAGTATGTACTAGAGCAGGAGCCTTGGCCAACTGCGTTCTCTCTCTCTTCCCCCCACTCCTTAAATTAACCAGCACAGAAGCACTGAGGCCAATTGTTGCACTCATTTTGCTTCCATGGCTAAGCTTCGGAGACCTTTGTGAATCTGCACGGCTCAGCTCCATACAGGTTGTACACAACAATAACGACAACAACTTGCACTTGTATAGCGCCCTCCACGCAGAGTAGCGTCTCAGAGCGCTTACCAGTGAGCTGGGGGGAGGTGTTCGTAAGCACGGTCGAAGAGGAAAGTTTTCAGGCGGGACTTGAAAGAGTGGGGAGAGGGTGCAAGGCAGAGTTGTCGTTGAGTTGTCGTTGCAGGCAGGTTGTTGTTGAACCACAGGATGACTCATTTGTTTGTGTAAGAAGGTTTTGATTCCTATCTCAGTCTCGCCTGAAACCAATGTGATGTAAATGTGGTCTACCTTTGCATTTGGTGTTCCGTTAAACAAATCTCTCGTGCAGGCTCTGTGCATTATTGTGCCATTATTGGCATAACAACTTACGTTGATCAGTTTCAAAACCAACAACATGTTTGAATAAAGTCTGATCTGCTTAGCTTTGAGCATCAATGTAAACCACACCGCTACTTTCTCTTCTCTCTGTTAACAAAATCGAATACAGATGACTTTTGCCATTGCAAGCTTGTTTAGCCAATACTGTATGGCTATTCTGGCTGTTTAGCTATACTGTTTGTTATGCAACAATAATAATCCTTGCATTTGATACAGTGCCTTATCATGTCTTCGAGATGTCTCAAAGCGCTTCACCAAATATACTGTACAGTGAATTGACTATATATTTTGTGGGCGAAACCCGGCAGACAGTTGCGCACAGAGGCGTCCGTCAAACAGTCGTGGTTTGAGTGACCAAATTATGAGGTGGTACCCTAGAAATCTGTGTCACAGAAGGAGGCCATTCGACCCATTTTATTAGCCGTTTGGCGAGCAACAGAATTTTTTGTGGGCGTGGACAACTTCAGTATTACCCTATTATGATGTGTATTAAACATGTTGGTGCCAATTGAGTGAATTGTGGGCTGATGCCGCTGGTATCTTAACTTGGGGTCTAAATCCATTAAGTATTAAATAAGATTTACTAGGATGTGTAGGAGATGATTTACTAGGATGTGCTCTCTTCTCTCTCTCTACCTCGCGCCTCTCCCCAATACTGTTCTCAAAACCTGGATCCATAAATCCGAGACATAAATTTGGCTTCTGGTTTATGGAAAGGATACCGGAGACGTGGATTGGGTTCAGGGAGGGTTCACACAGATTGACACTAGGGGTTGGAATTACAGTTATGAGGGAGGTAAAACTAAGCCTTTTTCCTCTGCGGAGAGAGAGTTAAGAGGGGATCTAAATGAGATCTCCGACATTCTGACGGGTTTACAGAGGATGGACAGTGAAATGTTATTCACGTTATTTGGAAAATCGTTGGACACGGAATGTGACGTAAACTCAGCGTTGTCACAGGGAGAGTTGAAAGGAGATTAGAAGAAGTTTTCTCGTCCTGAGATGAGATTGGACTGTGGAATGTTCCACCACAAGGAGCCGCTGACACTGAGACTGAAACACCATTGAAAAGGGGGTTGAATAAATGTTTGAAGAGGACACAGGTAAAGGGTACGAGCAAAGAACAATTAGCTCCAGTGGCTGAACTATCACCTGTTC